CCTCATCTCTACAATAAAACAAAAAATTAGCCGGGCGTGGTAGTGCGCGCCTGTAATTCCGGCTACTCGGAAGGCTGAGGCAGAAGGATCGCCGGATCCCAGCAGTCGAGGCTGCGGTGGCTGGGAGCGGCTACTGCACTCCAGTCTGGGTGACAGAGTGAAACACCAACTCAAAAAAAAAAAAATAAAAGTAAAAAAATAAATAAATAAAAAAGACATAACGCACAGGTTCAACGATCAAGTAATGGTTAATCGATTTGGTACATCAAAATGACAGAATACCCTGTGATCATTAAAAATCAAATGAGAGAAAAAGATTTCATAATCTAGGAATTGTTCACAACCTTTTAGGTCAAAAAAAGCAGGTCATAAAGGAGTAGTGTGTGTAATATGATTCTAATTTTATAAAGCAACACAAACAAAAGCCAAATATACATCACGCCCAAAAGTGTATATATGTGTGTATGCATGCATGTAATATACACACACATATTATATATTCATATAATAAATAAAATTATATATGTAAAATATTTCAGGGTTTCAGCAGAAGAGGCTTTATATATTACCACACAAATCAGCCTCCTAATACTATGTAGATACCCTTGTTGATGAGGTGTGCTCCTCCCTCTCCTGGAATATTTGTTTTTAATAGAAAGGGGCTAGTAAATAATTTTACTCATTTTAACATCTGCTCAAACTGAAAATGGATCACAAACAGGACAAATAACTTGCCAAGTTCATACTTCTTTAAACATTCAAGCAAGATGAACCAAACAGTTAAAATTTGGGGGCAGGGCAATCCCCCCAGGTCGCCTCCCACTGTGGGAGCTTTCCTGCCTCTTAATAAATCCTGCTTCAAAAAATGGGGAGGCAAAAGGATAAGAGCATCAACCAAACTGTCCTGAAGTTTTGGAAAAACCCCAAAAAGTGAATGGTATCAAGGAAAAAGTTCAGAGAAATTCACTAGGAAACATTCTTTTCAAGTCTTAATATAAGACCTTATTAAGCAATCAATGATACTATTTAATTAATGGAAAAAACAATTATATCTAGCATGTGTTTCTGTCGTACTACTATGGAAAGAAGTTTGTACTCCCTAATTTAATAAGACTGCATGCCAGATGTAAAGAGGTTAAGCTGTGATACAAACGGTTCTGTTCTGGATCTCAGTCCACACCAGGGACTGCAGAGTACTATGGAAAGAAAAACAAAAGCAACATATTTTTTTCAGTCTTGCATGCCTAAAAGACATGACCAAAAGGTTTGAATTATTCCATAACACTGCTAGGGAGTCTAATTCCTTCTTGCATAATTTCGCATGAATAGTGCAGTAGTAGCCTGGCATTAGAAACATAAAATACACGTGTCTGTGGGAAAAGTCCATTCGCATTTGACATGCATGAGGGACTCAACACAGGATATCTGATACTTGAAAAGAAGGAATTCTAGTAGAAACACTAGAGTTTCAGAAATCCATCTCTTTCTCTCCTACTAGAGAGTTCTAGCCCATTTTTTACTTTTGGTTCTTGTTCATTGATTAATTTTTCTGAACCATGTGTATTTTCTAGCTTACTCTACAAAGTTGAAGAACAACTAATTATAGGGGAAATTTCAAGCCTTACTTACCCCGACCTTTTGGGGTGAACTAAGAGGTTCTTTCTTGACAAGTCTAAGATAGAAAGCTGCTGGAAGAATGAAAATCAGCATAGTGGCAGAAGAAGCCCCTGAGGAGACAAACACAGGGTTGGTCAATGTCTTACACTGCAGGTCTTACCCAGAAAAGTAGACACCCAAGGGCACGCGCTTTAAAGAAACCAAAAATAAACTTGTCCTAGGTCTTGACATTAAAGCCACACATTTAAATCACATAAGCTCATTTTGGTTTCTTATTCACAGAAGATATGTATGTAGAGAAAATTAAAATGTATCCAACATCATAGTTGCATAAGGATATATACATATAACAAGCAATAATACAAGGGATTCACATAAATTCATACTATGGAGTTTGAACTGATCACACACCCTTCCTCTCCACCTATTTCAAAGTTTTAGATTGTATTTAAAAGTTGAGTAACCTCTCAATCAGAAATGAGAAACTAATTAATAGACCATGCAGTTAAGGGAAATAATGTGCTTTACAAAAGCAACCTCCTATTCCTCTGAAGATACCGTTGGTCACCTGACCCTCATAGGCCTGAGAGAGCTTCTGTTAGGTAAGATCTATCTTTCTGACTCTTTTTCTGATAACAGAGTTAAGATCTAAGTCCAAATGCTAGGTCCACCCCAAGTTAAATTACTTCTGTCAGAAAAGGCAGCTGGGCCCATTAACCTCTCAGGTAGCTACCAGTGTCAATTGGGAGGAAGAGAAAGTAGCTAAAGGAAATCTGTGAATCTGAAAAGAACTGGAGATCTGGACTACCCAACACTGACTCCCCATCTGTCATTTAAGAAGTTTGGGTTGACTAAATAAAAGTCTTTCTGAAACTTACCTATGAATCCAAAGATGTATTTTATAGTTGGCACAAGGATGACAAGAACATTATTAAGTGCAATAATTACAGCTGCAATCAGGAAATGTCTTATCCAGCTAAAGGGTCTTTTGGGAAATAATAGTGTGGTCACTGATGTACGAATCTGTAATAAGAAGGTTAAAGGAAAGTTCACTTCTTTGATATTATCTACTCCTTCAAATATTCTCATTATTCTAAAGTATTTTCTTTATTTTTTGTTTTTCTCTCAGAAACTATCTTGATGCTTTTTTATCCACTTATTTTACTGTGGTAAATATACAACACAGAATTGACTATCTTAGCTAATTTTAAGTGTACAGTTCAGTGATATTGAGTATGGTCATGTGGCGTATAATGTCATCTCGGTCAATGACGGGCTGCATATATGATGGTGGTTCTGTAGGATTATAATATTATATTTTTATTGTAACTTTTCTGCATTTACATATGTTTAGATTCACAGATACATACCATTGTGTTATAACTACCCATAGTATTCAGCACATGCTGTACAAGCTTGTAGCCTAAGAGCAATGGGCTATAACATATAGCTTAGGTGTGTAGTAGGCTATAGCATCTTGGTTTGTGTAAGTACACTCTAGGATATTCACACAATGAGAAAATCACCTAACAATGCATTTTTTTCCAGAATGGCCGCATTGCTAAGCAACACATGGCTGCATGTTCATATTGTTGTGCATCCTTGACACTAATTTTCTATGTTTAAGATGGAGTGTCATTTTTCTTGGTTCAATTTCTTAGTTTGCAGAAGTTTTTGGAAAAATAATCTCAGTCAGAAAGAGCTAAAATATATAACTCAGAAACACAGTAAAGTCCTTGTTGATCTCTCATCACGTCTCTCATTGGACTGGATTAAACATTAAGGGCAAGCACTGCAGTGATTTACAAGAGGTTGTGAGAGGAATTCTACAAACCTAGATTTTTCTTAATTTTGCATTTTATTTAACGTTTTGCCATCTGATACTTTAAAAATATGATTTTCTTTGTGTCTACTCCTTTCTCCTTTTTCACCTCTCCCATCGATAGTTTATAAGTTCACAAAAGATAAGGACCTAATAACCTTAACATTCCTCAGAGTTTCTAGTTTAATGTCTCGTGCACAGCAAGCACTCAATAAATGATGAATTAAATTTAACAGTAGGAATCCTTTCCCTCCCTTCAGTATCCTTGTCAGATTTCAACCCTGTTTCAGCAGCCGAAATAAGTAGGCAAAGGGTCAAGAGAAGCTCCATTTGCAGCAGCTGCTCAAGTTACTCTGATGGAACCGGATAAAGAGATCCCTGTGGGCAGAGGGAGGGAGTGCTGTTGTGTTTGTACAGCTTAACAGAGTTAAAAACACTCTTATCTTTGGAGTCTTTTAGAAGACACTTTTTTGACTTAGTGGAATTACACTATTGGCTTTTCAATAAGTGAGCACTTCAGTTAAGCTATGAGTTTACATTTTTAAAACTGCTGTGGTTGATTTTCACTTGAAAATTTTTATTCTGAAGTCTCTTAATGGTGTGGAGATGGAAACTCATTTAAAAGAGAGACAATGCAAAATACATTTTGAACCATGTATGAACGACAAAAAAGTGGAGCTAAATAGTTTGCAGTTTTTCATGTGACATTCCTTTCATACCGCTCCACCAAAAATTAAAGCCATCTGTTTAGGCTGAAAAGGAAATTTCATTTCTAGAATGGCAGACCAAATAGTCTCTGGAAATAGCTGAAGAATGACTTTGTAAAGGTTTTTAAAAATTGAATTAGTGAAAATTATGAAACTCATTCTGAAAAATAAACTGAGGAAAGAAAATGGTTGATGTTGTTTTCCCCAGCAGCCTTAATAAATTCTACATTACGATGTTCAATTAATGCGTATTCAATATTGTCCAAACTGAAGTAATTAGTAGGCTTAAAATAAAGTTTTTATGAAACACACATAGCACTTGAGCACTTAATTTATGCTAAACTAATAGAATAAACAAACAAGTATGAAATACAGGCCCATTTTCAGGAAGAAGTCACAATGTGCTTTTTAGTCCTTTGTTCAAATGGGCTAAATTTAATTAAATTCAATTCAATAAGCTGAGTTAGAGGTGATCTTACATGTGCCGGGCATCTGAACGTTAATGGGCTTTCTTAAGGTCTCATGACTTCCAGAAAGACTACCATGTGGTCTAATGATGTGAGAGTACAGAAAGTTTACAGGAGTAATAGGTAGAATGTTCTGAGTAAATGGTGAAAGCTTTTTCCTTACAGTGAATAAAGAATAAGAACCCAAACAACTGAAGGTAAACAGAGTTTCCAGTGCATTCCTGAAGAGGGCAACAGAGGAAAGAGGGAGACACAGGCCGGTGGTGATGGTGGTGGAAAAGGATAAGGAAACTTGGTAACTGTTACATGTTAAAATACTGCCCTGAGGAGTGAGCCTGGAATCAAAAGGTCCATAGCAGTTCTGTTAACCTCTGTCAGGATACAGGCAACTCAGGCTTATTCAGCCACAGAGCCTTGCCTGCTCTTCCACTTATGTATGTGCCCTTTTCTTTACTGACACACACCACTAGGAACCTGGAAATGTGGGTCAGATGCTGTGGGTAGGGGAAGTCCCCAGAGACATTCCAGCCCTCTGACCCAGAATAATTCCAGAAAGGTTCTATTCAGCTTTAAAGAAAACATCTTTTATGTCTAGAAAGAGTGTCCTGAACAGGAGCCTGAGAGGAGGTGCTGTGTACTGATGTGGGGACCCAATGTGACAGTCACAAAGGTAGAGGCACAGTGAAAGTGAGAGCCTTACCTCTGAACTCTTAAAAAAAAAAACAACTCTCTTAGAAGTGACTCACACTTTCACTTTGTAGGTTTACTTAGGGCAAGGGTGTTGAAAATACCTATGAGTCTAAGTGGACCTTGGACAATTATTATAATACTATAAGAAAGGGATCGGCAAACTGGGAATCCTAGTGGGAAACTGTCAGGGGATGGGGGTGGGACTGGCAGTTGAGGGAAACTGCTAGGGGAAGGAGGGGCATACCGCATCAATAAGGGTACCTGCATAATCAATGTTTGTATACCTAACCCTGAATTGTACCCCACATCTTTATAATAAAAAATAATAAAAAAGATTTAAAAAAAGAAAATACCTATGAGTCACTATTCTACTGCAGTTCACGGCAGTATCTGCTGTATTTCTATGTATGTCTACTCTATATACACTTCAAAACAAGAGATCTGAAGGCAACATAAGCGAAAAGAATGACTTTGCTATGATGAATACAAGTCACTAGAGAGTCCAAGATGTGATCGTATTTTAAAGGCTTGACAGGTGGAATTTGAGTCTGTGTGTTCATGATGAAGCTATGGGGATTATTTGGTTTTCTGTGTTTCATGGTGAAATGGAAACCATACTGCATAAAGGGAAGCTCATGCTGAAAACAACATGACTAATCCTCTGGAAGTAGTACTTTTCCAGAAGAGATATCCTTGTCCCATATCTTATCTTCCACCCACTACTAAGAGAGAAAGAAATGTTGGGCTGCTAATGAAAAAGTTAGTCTTAATTCACTTCACTTATTCATTTGTTCAACAAACATTACAAGCAGTTACTATGTGTCTTTTACTAAGAAGGGAAAAACTAACCTGATTGGAGAAAAGAAAAGTAATCAATCAGGTAAAGGAAAACAAAAAAATAAATAAATAAACTCTTGTGATTTCTTCTCAGGATCCTAAGAAAGAGAGCCCAGTTATTATTTTTTGAAAGAAGGGGAACACAAAATAATACCTAAAGCTGACAGACTTTCATCCAGATTAGGTTTGTTTTGTTATATGTGGGGATATCAAAGCAAGTAAATAAACTTCTCACTGGCCAAGAGTTTCTTAATCTATCAGAAGAACCATGGTAAAGAGGAAAGCGGAAGATACAGGCAGGTAGTGATGGTGGTGGAAAAGGATAGGGAAACTTGCTGGCTGTTACATGTTAAAAAACTGCCCTGAGGAGTGAGCCTGGAATTAAAAGATCCACAGCAATTCAGTTGACTTCTGTCAGGATACAGGCAACTGAGGCTTATTCAGCCACAGAGCCTTGCCTGCTCTTTCACTTATGTAAGTGCCCTTTCCTTTACTGACACACTGAACATCTAGGCTCCAAATTTTTTTTAAAAAGAGCAGTAGCAGCAAAACACTACTAACAACTTCTTCTGTTACTTTGGCAAAAAAAAAAAGTATCTGAATTTAATCTTGTAGGACTTGACTGGGACCCCCTCAAGGAAGTTGGGCCCACTTCGCTGTCACTCTCTCTATGCATCTGACACATTCACGAAGGTTTGTTCCGTTTGCCCAGATCTTCACCCCAACTGAATTCATGGCACATGTCAGCAAGGGAAAGAGCCTGTGCTTTTCCTAGAAAAGGATTTTCATACATTTCAAGAAAAGGCAAGATTCATTTAGAGGCCATTTTTCTTAGCAAATATTACTGAGCACAGCCTCTGTACCAGTCACTGTGCACGACTTCAACCTACAGGGCCTTACTACCCAGTGGGGAAGGGTCATTTATATAGATCACTTCAATGTAACATCACAAGATCAACGGCAGGATTATGTGCAAAATGTTTCATAAAGGCTCATGTTGGATAAAAATACATAATGAAAGATAGCAGTTAATTATTTTTCTGAATTTTGCTTCTCATGCTCAATTTTGGTTCTAATGGCACTGAATGGGTAAAAACAATAGCTGTTCCTGATGGTCAGATTTATTCCAGTGCTTCAGCTGTCTCAAAGGAGAAGAATTTCTAGGGAGAAATTTGGATTTTCAATGTTGAGGTGAAATGTTCATCAGTAAATGACTTTTACTTCCTATTACAATGACTGCAGCCATCAGTGTTATACTATGACGGGCATTAGTTCAACTGTAGACCAAATGGTTCAACTTGGCCCATGGCCAAGTCCAACAATCTCTTGAGACCATGACTTGAAAACATGATATGAATATGAATAAAGCAGTACAGAAGCACATCACTAATTGCTTTCATAAAATGCTTTGATTCAACAATGATGTGAGTGCCTACTGTGTACTAAATTTAGTTAGTGATTGTTTTACACACACACACAAAAAGACTCCAGATATTCTTTTCTCATTGAAGCTGTTTGCTTGGAAATTTTACCCTATCCTATACTTTCTGCTTCTAGCTGTCTTCTGTCTTGTACTCAAGTGGAGCTGGTTTTAGGCAAAAGCTGTGTGTCATTTGAAATACTTTCAGATATATTAGAGGCAAGCCATGATTTAAGGGTAAAATATTAGCCACCATAGTAATAGGAATCTGATTTCATGTGCTCATGAAAAAGGAATGTGCCAAAATATATTTCCGCACACAAGCTGCATTAAAGTGACCACAGCGCCATTATAGAAGTAGTCCTTATATGCTGGGCCCTCTATGGAACATTATGTCCAGGACAGTGCTGGTTACTGTGTTGCTTATTTTTTCCCCTCAGATGAATGAGTAAATTCAGTGTGTATGAAAGGAGAAGAGTTGGCAGGAGGGTGAAGACCAGTGTTTATCCATAGGTGGTGGTTTTAACTCATGCAGGCCAAATCCCCATGACCAGCCCTGCCCTGGGGTCCCAGAACAAATTGACGCCAGTAGCAAATGCCAAGAAGGGGCGATACCAGTCTGGGTCTGGCAGAGGGCACATGTGAGAGAGCTATATGGTAGATAACAAAACTATTTCTCAAAAAATTTTTCCTAGTGTATACTTCATTTAACATGAATTCCTTTTTCATTAATCTTCAAGAAATGAGATTCAATAGTGTGAGTTTGGATGTTATTGCAGCACAACAAACTGGAAAAAAATGAAATGCCTTCAAAACTATGGCGAAATTCAATAGGATTTTAACATTAAAGTGGTTTTGGCTTTTGAGTTTCAAAAGTTATGTGAACTCCTACTCATTTTTACTAACCCACAAGGCAGCAGCTCAAGGCCTACTTTTTAAATTTGAGTTTAAAAATAAATTTCATGATTTTTTCCTACATTTTAAAAATATCACCTAAAAAACTTGTTTTATCTACATATTAAATGGTCAATTTTAAGTGGTTCCAAAATGCTATAGAAAAATAATAATGCCCTTAAGCATTGCAACTGCAAACTCACATTATAATCAGATCCATATTAAGGCAGAACATGTGTAATGCTCTAACTGATTTCTTTCATGAAAACTTTCTGTACTTACTGGGAACAGGACAATGGGCACTGTTAGTGTTACTGCCACCAGGACCGCCAGGCGTACCATGAGAAGAGGGGTGTCAAAGGTATACACTTTGCTATAAGCATGAAGCAATTCATCTTCAACTTCTCCTACAGAGAGGAAGAAGAGGATGAGTCCATCTGATGTTGTCAAGTCAGCACTGGCTACTTAGGGCAACATTTTATGGAGAGAGCACAGAACAATGGAAAAGATCCCTATTTGGGAATCCAGGCACATCTGTTCTTATCTTGAGCCCATTAGCTATGTGACCCTTGTTGAAATGAACAAAGGGATCCTGAAGCTTATACAGTTGCAGGAGCTAATATAAACTTGCTAAGGCACCTCTTAAGCTCCTCGGCATCATGATGAATCTATCTCTGTTGTACAGGAGCATTACAAACCAAACAGAAGCTGAGGAGCTCTCGTTGAAGGGGATGAGAGGCCAAGTCCCACCAGCTTGTCTCTGTCATCCTACCACCATATTCCTAGGCATTCTCTATGGCAGTTCTCCAAACCCAGTATGGAAACTCAAGACAAATAATCACTAACTTTTTTTCAATCTCAACAACTATGACTCCATCATTACACTGAAACATGTACTCTTGGGCGTTTTCAGGTTTTTTTCTTGTCTTATGAACCTCATTAGAGCAAGTATAAGTAACATGCAAGGATAAATTAGTATGATTGACACAGGGTCTCCCAACGAATACTGCTCTAAGATGAAGCTGCTGCCCTATTTGCAAAAACATTCATTCAGTATTCTAGACACAAATGACAAGGAGATAGTTATTAAATCGGTTGTAGTTTGATTTTCCCACTACTGTCTCCAAGATCAGACAAAAAGGGGTAAAAATGCATTCAATGGTATTTACCTTGACTTTCATTATTTCACAACTGGCAAAAAGTTAATGCCCAGTCTAAAGCATGTGCTTGGTTAATAGTCAAATATTAAAAAATCTACTACTTCCGAGTCTTTTTCTCCCCAACTTGTCATACAATCGATTTAATTTACTACGTTAGTCAGAGAAAAAAAAATCCAAAATGTTAGAGAGACTTAGACAAAAAAAAAATTATGTTGGTATATTGATTGCTGTGAACATAGGCTACCAAGTCAATGTTTGACTCCATGAAATTTGTCTATAGGGCCACACTTCATGGAAGTAATACAAACTTACTCCCTTTGTATACGATTAAGATGCCAGAGAGAAAAATGTTTCAGACACAATCTAATGTGACCATACTCAGTTTTTCTGTGGTGCATTCCCAGATTAAAAATAATTCTGTCATGTCCTCTTTCTTAGGATTATAATTCACCATAAAAGAATATAATGGGATAAGACAGGAATTCTACCTAACTCCCCAAGCTCCAGATCTGACTGGTAAATAAGAAGCAAGTTCAAACTTGAGGACTTTGTAATTTTTCTGCCATTTGCTTGACAGTTAATTATTCTATCAAAAGAGATTTACCACATGCAGTTGGATTCATTCTCATTGCTTGTAGCCTGAGATGGGTTAGGGAGTCTAGCCAAAGAAATATCATCTATCCCTAGAGGAAAAAGATTTCATTTGAGGGATATTTTTCATAAAAAGTGTGACAGTTCACAAATTGTTGTAACTTGTTAGCCAGGCTGGTTCAGGCTCCATTTTATTAGGTCAACTGACAAAGCTAAAACTGCATGTTAATTGAGTATGTGTCATCTATAGATCATGCTTATAGAGACCAATTTAAAAAATTATACCTACCCAGGTCAATGGTCAGTCTAATCAGGATTTGCACATAGAGAATGACTTTGATAGTGACCTACCATAGAAGGTCAGGTAACCAAAGAGGGCAGCAAGTAGGTACATAATTAGCATCCCCGTGATGGAAATATTTGACACTGTTTGCATTTTCCTCCGGGACCGTCTGAAAAGAAAATGAAGAACAAACTTTGTTCTTTTAAACTTATAAAAATATCACTTTTTAAAATTAAAATAAGAAATAATTATTTAAAAGTATGTCTGTTACTCATAAAGAAACCACATTTAGCTGGGTTTGGTGGCTCAGCCTGTAATCCCAGCATTTTGGGAGACCGAGGCAAGTGGATTGCCTGAGCCCATGGGTTTGAGACCAGCCCAGGCAACTTGGCAAGACCTCATCTCTACAATAAATAAAAAATTAGCTGGCCACGGTAGCGCATGCCTGTAGTTCCGGCTCCTTGGAAGGCTGAGGTGGAAGGGTCACCGGAGCACAGCAGATTGACACTAGGGTGGCCCTGAGCGTGCCACTGCACTCCAGCTTGGGTAACGGAGTGAGACTCCAACTCAAAAAAAAAAAAAAAAAAAGAAACCACATTTCTAGTACATAAATTTACTGCTGATCTGAATTCGTATCAGAGAGCTAACAAGGATTCGTTTCTATTTTTCTTAAATACAACTCCTCAGTGTTAGAAACAGCCACTTTCCAAGAGGAGGAATCTATTCATGTCAATAAGAAAGTTTGTCTACTGAATAAGTAGGAATGTAATTAACATAAAGAGCAAACTGGTTCCTAATGTAGAAAGCTTTTGCCTTTAATGATGGGATGAGTTTAATGAGAAAAAAAAACCTACTTGAATCAGCAAAGCACTACTGTCAAGAGTTCAGACTACCAGGAAACTTGCTATTGTTACCCGATCAACTTCTGGAAACCATTCTAGAGGGAGTGTACCTGGCTGCCTTAGTCAATTGCCAGATCTGGAGTAACTACTCCATGTGATTTTCAAAGCAAATCAAAGACATCAAAATAACTGAAGGTGTTCCAAAAATTTTTTATGAGATGAATCAGAATTTATGGGGATAGTTGTCACTATTTAGTGAGAATGAAGCCTGGGGTTATTGATGTCTGAGTTTAAAAAGCTGAGAATTATTATATGACAACCTTCCCTTAAGGGAGAGAGGGAAGCTGCTATTGTAATCTCATACCCTTTGTCCCCAAGCAAATGTCAACAACCTCAAAGGGAAAAGAATCTGAATGAATCATAAACCATCAGCATGAAGAAAAATATTTTCTAGCCAATGTCTCCATTGTACAGATAAGATAATGAAGGTCAGATTTTGGCACATCTCTTGTGGTGGATGTCTTCTAGACAAGGGTTAGGAACTGACCACAAATAACATCCACGGCTTATCAAGATAGCCCTAACCATAATTTTTGGTTTTCATGGGTGTTGTCATTTTAAGTTCAGGTGACATCACTTCTTCCCACCAAAATTCAAATTTAAATTCCCCATACCTGCCCAAATCGTAACAACCATTGATTCCTTGTCCAACTACCCTGAAGCCCTCCCATGAACCATTATAGTAGAGAGATAGGAGAGAAGGAAGCAGGCAAGGTTGTACTACAGGTGGGCTGATTCACACCGTTTTGGTTAAAGCACATTACTGATGAGTGGATATGGCACAAACTTTCTCTGACGAGAAAGCTATAAGCCACATTTCCTCCTAAAGAAACTTTGAGCATATGAGCAGATTTTCAAAGCAAATCAAAATGCTAGACTGTCTTACCCTTTAAGTTCACTGTAGATGGGAAGGACCTCGGGGTGACATACAAAAGCAAATGCTAGGATGGGGATTGCATAGGCCGTCTGAAAAACAAGGACACCACCACACGTTTAGCATTCCAACATAGATGGCAATCTCGGGCCATCTCAGCTGATGAAATAAAAACTCAGAGACCATATAACTGGGCTCATTAGAAGCCTGGACCTCTCACTTACCCGAGAGTTGAATACAAAGTATTTGGGCTGACACTTGTCATCACTATGGGCTTCGTACTCTACTCCACTGTCATGAAGAGAGCCCTTGGCCTGGTTCTCATCCAACCCTGCTGGATTGCGGTGGGCATAATCCATCATGAAGTTCACACCGGAGCTCTCAGAGTTGTTGGGTAACATTACCACATACATGGGAAGTGTGTTGTTGAATGTAAGATTTCCAACACTATGGTCCAGAACAGGCAGGGGGCAAGGTATTTGGAATTTCTTGTAAATCACCTAGACCCAGTCATCAAACAAACAAACAAAAAAAACCCCAAACAAAACAAAAACAAAAAACAACAACAAAAACCCAGAAGTTAGCTTTTTGGGGAAAAACAATGAACTAAGAATTCAGATGTATGGCTTATGGGGCAGGAAACTCAGCTAGGACTTCCTTTTAGACTAATAAATAATGGAGAACCCCTCTAGTCTCTGTTCTATGAAAAGAGTTGGAACTGTGGTTGGCAGCCTTACTTCTCGGAGTCCACAGGACAGTATTTTGCATGACTCCATCCCAAATCTCTTTCACACACTTCCATGAGAAAGATGATCATTTCCTTGCTACATTTCCTATCTTTTATTTCTTCCAACTAATTATGACATGAGTCATCAAAATTTTTCTCCTCCCCCTTCACCTCTTTGGGGAAATGCTTTATACATTTTGGCACTCATGATCGTGCTAGAAATTCCCCCTTTTGACAGAGGTGGAGAGAGGCAGATTTCTTCATTTCCACTGAGGCTGCCCTCTCTATATTTTGTTTTATTGTTGTTATTATTATTATTATTTTGAGTTGGAGTCTCACCTCCATTACCCAGGCTGGAGTGCAGTGGCATGCTTATGGCCACCCCAGCGTCGACTGGCTGGGCTCAGGCAATCCTTCCACCTCAGTCTTCCAAGTAGCCAGAACTACAGGCGTGCACTACCATGCCTGGCTTATTTTTTGATTTATTGTAGAGATGAGGTCTTGCCAAGTTGCCCAGGCTATTCTTGAACCCATGGGCTCAGGCAATCCCTACACCTCGGCTTCCCAAAGTGCTGGGATTACAGGCTTGAGCTATTATTATTATTATTATCATTGTTATTATTATTATTATTATCATTATTTTGGAGATAAAGTTTCACTCTGTCTCCCAGGCTGATCTCAAATTCTTATCCTCAAAAGGTCCTTCTGACTCAGCCTCCCAAAGCTCTAGGGGTACAAGTGTGAGCCACCACACCCAGACTCAGCTGCCCTCTCTTAATGGGTAGAATGTGTAAGAGAGAATGGCTGAGTCATGTGAATATGGCTATAGCCTACTTATCTCTTTTCTGGGATTCTTCACTTCATCCACCCTTTTAAATACTAGGTTATTGTCATGTTCCTACCCGAAATGTTCCTGTGTCCAAATATAAACCCAGTGTGCCTAGAACTTACCACTGGCAACAGCCTTGACATTGTAACTCAACTATTTTTAAACTCATGATTGCTCTTTTCTAATTCCAAAGTAGAATACAAGAAAATAACTTGTGATGCAAGAATTATTTCATGCTACTGAAGTACCTGAACAAAATTGAGAACTCTAATTTAGATACAAAAAACATCTCATGTTCACCAAGCTACAAGGATCATGTCAATGAGTCACTTACCACACTGACAAAAAACACCATACAGGTAAGAGAAAATCCACTGGTATAACCAAGGTAACCTAAAAGTTAGCAGAAAAAATTTGGAAGGTGAATATGGCATCTAAAATCAGCTTACCTATTAGAATATGAAAAAAAAGAAAAAACATTTTCAGTTAGAAAATGTCTTTACCTAAATTTTTCAGAAGAGAAAGTGGAAGAATAATTCCAACAGATATAAATATGACGAGGTAGTTGCCATCAAGGTACCATTCTCTAGAAGAGAAAGAGAGACAAAGACAATAGGACCAGAAAATTACAAGTAGAATGAGTCACTTGATGTCACAGAGGGAACATAGGACATACCCAGTATTCTCTTCAAGTCCCATGAATGCTCTGATTACTTCAGGTAGTTCATATTTAATGATAAAGAGGTAGCTTGACATTGCTAAAATGGAAAACGTGACAGCTTAGTGGTGTGCATAGCACTGAGGTCACACGCAAGTTGTAAGAAGTCATGACATTTGGGACATTTATTCTTCTCAGTAAGATGAGCATCTAATTCCCCAAGTGAACAGAAAAGCCACCGAGTAGTCTGCACTGGTTCCAAGTACTTTTCCAAAAATTGACATTTGGCGCTCTAGCTCTTGCAGGTGAATCTTTGCTAACAGTATCAGGGCTGATTCGGTGTTAAATCCAGCTCCAAGGTTTACGGTGAAGCTGCAGTTTCATCAGTTATAAATCATCATGGCCATACTGTGTGTGCTTGTTTTAATGTCTATAACTTGGGCAACAAAAGGCATGGGTCAGATGAGAGAGGGAAGATCGCAGGGCAGATCTGAGAAGTTTATACATTACTCTGGCTTTTTGGAGATGGAGCCAATCTAGTTGTCTGGGCTCTCTCTGAGGGACACATAAAGTCTCAGACTACTTTTTGTGAAAACTGGAGTCTTCCTGGATGAAAGAATACAAGAGACAAAAAGCTTCTCCCCTATGTCAGTGAAGTTTTTTTCCCCCTCAATATCCTACTCTTTAGTCAAATAAGGAATTATACAATGTGGAAAAATTTCAAGCATTTAGGTAAGTGATATATGATTGATCATGTACTCTTGAAAATCTGATAAAATCCATAAACCTTCACTCTGGAAAAATAAATATATATAAATATACATAGCATTACAACTTTGCTTACAGTTGTAAAGATTTACGCTTCACCTCTTTCCAAAGACCATCCCTTCAGTAAAGTATAACCCTAATTTGTTGGACACATGGTCAAAAGACTCAATTAAAAAGAAAACTGGCAAGTTTTACATGGAAACTTGAAGTGTGGGCTACCTTCTTCAGGTGAATTTTTGTAAACAGGCACATAAAACAGATATCCAAGTTTAACCAATGGTTTAAAAATATCTTCTTAATTTCAAATGAAAGTAAAAATGGTGATAATAATTCCCCACATTGTTTAGTTCTACATATAAGCCCTGTGAGATGACAAGATGTATGTGGTTAGCCTCATTCAGCTGAAGATATAAAGACTTTGAAAGGTTAAATGGCATGCCCAAGATCACATAGCTTGAAAAGGATAGACCACATCTAAACTAGAAGTTCTTAACATCTGAGTCAGTGCTTCTTCTCTATTGTCAAAGTAAAATGACTTTTTACAATACTTGATGTGTCTTCTGATGTGTCACATTATTTGGTTAATCTTTACAAAGACCTTGGCTAAAACTAAATCTTACAGAGCATAAACAGAGGAGGTATTTCTGATGAACTGGCTCAGTGAGATACGATTCAATGTTAGAGCTATTAATTGCTGACTTTTGGTGATGTCACCACTGTTAATGTGTTTGGTCTTCGAAAATTCAAAATGATACGGACCTGTCTGGATAATGTCAACATTATTAGCTAATGCTAAGACAACTGTAGTAAATGTCAATTTTTCTAAGAGATTGAGAAAATTAAATGTTTTAAATGGGGGGTGTGAAGTACAGAAATACAAGAGATTTCCTTTATGCCAAATATCCACTAATCACACAAAGTAACCAAAGTGAGAGCATTTTCTGGGATAATATAAAATTTCATCTTTCTCCCTTAAAGTCACACCCCTTACTGGAGTGTGGCTTAACTAAGTGACCACATTAGAGTGTATCCCACTATTTGGAAGCATAATAGTGGCTGCACTTTGAACCACAGATGATGCTGTGGCCATTTTGCTTGTTGAGTTCAGAGTGAAATATGCTTATTCCTGGTTATTTTGGTTGTTAGAGCAAGTAATTTAGTTAAACTATAATGTAATCCTATGAAATGCTTAATACTGTAAATCTTGATAAGACTGAGAATTTGAACCAAATGTAAAGCAGTCTATTTGGTGAGATTTGGTGGGCTTATATGCTTGTGGCCCAAACTCAGTAAAATGAAGGAGACAATCCTGGAATTGCTGCCAAATTCTATCCAAGACTGTAGACTTAACATATAAAAATATAAAAAGAAATAAACATTAATCAGTAAATTATAGCTGAATTGTATTTATCTGCTCACTATCTATTAGCAGTCATAGTTGGATAAAGGAGTTGCTACATTCCAGAAATCCCAGATAACTCCAGTGAGCTTTACTAATCAAAATGGGTTGCTTCCTTGCATGATCTATGTCCAAGTTTATTTATTGCAGCAGTGTTTGTAACTGTGAAAAATTAGAAACAATCCAACAGTTCATCAATATGAATTCTATAAACCAATTTTGGCACATTTGTTTGTACAATGGAAGTCTCAAAGTGCATTAAAAAGAATACCATGCAAGTGTATTCAAGGCATACCATTAGATTTTTTAAAACAAGCTGAAAATCAGTATTATAAGATACCCAATTTTAGTAATACTGATATATTGGTTGAATTAGACACGGGGCAAACATATGAGTAGCTATTTCTGAGAGTGACTTACATAGACTCTTCTTGGTAATTTATATATTTATGTAATGTTTAAGATTTTTCACAATGAGTAAATGTTTGTTTTATAATAGTAAAATGCTCATTTAAAAGATAATCAAGGGGGCCTCAGAGACATGGAGAGCCAAGGAGGAAGGAAGCACCTACTGAACCTTTATGATGTGCCATATGTTACCTTATTTCATGCTCACAATGGCTTTGTGAGGATAGAGCATTACTCCTATTTTCATAGATGGAAAAATTAGACTGCAAGGAGTAAAGTGATTTTCCCAAGGTCATAGATAGTGACAGAAACAGACTCAAATTCAAGTGTATCAGACTCCGATAGCTTATTATCTACTCAAGAGTTTTAAAATATTTTTAAAAAACCAATAACATTCCAGATACATAGAAACAGGTCCAAGAGAGTGCAAAGGAACTAGTAACTAACAGCTTAGAGAGGCAATGGGCCAAGGGAGGGGACACACACACACGCACATTCTGGGTTGAAGGACTTCAAGAGACATTCATGGGGAGAAAATAGCATGTCTAAAAAAAGTAGAGAATTTTTTAAAAATATTAGAACTAGGAGACTGATTATACTTTGTTATGGCTTAGCACATACCACATGGGAATAGATGATGAAGATAGATAGATAGATAGATAGATAGATAGATAGATAGATAGATAGATAAGACAGATTGATAGATGATAGATAGATATAGGTACTGGCAAGCAAGCAATAGAAAGGTAGGCAGAGGAATATAATAATGATCCTTGTGTCAGGTCAATGACTTTAAGTTTTACCTTGAAAATAATGACAGCATGCTAAAGAATTTTATGCATGAAAGAAGCAGGAATAGATCTGAATTTGAGAAAGTTTATCTGAAGAATAAATTAGAAATGAAACCAGGAGAAACTCAAGGCAGAGAGACCAGTTAGAGACCACTGCAACAGTTTGAATTAAAAATGGTGATCATCTGTGGTCATAAGGATGGAAGGAGATGAGAAATCGAAGATGTAAGTAAAAGATAGAATGAACAGGAGTTGGCATTTGATTGGTTTTGCAGGATTAGGGAAAGAGGGAAAAGTTTAGGCTGACATCCAGATTTCTGGCTTAAGAAACTGGATGGCTGCTGGTGGTATTTAATGAGAGAAAAAAGAACAGAGGACTAGAACGGCAGGTTTAGGGATTGGATAGGAGGTAAGAAAATAAGTGCCACTATGTGGGGAGATAGTTGGAGCATTCAGCAGGAAACAGCTAGTCAGACGTCTGATATATGGACTTGGATGCCTAGAGAGGGTCAAACACAACAGAACCAGCGTGAAGCTGGTGGGCAAACGTATCACCTAGAACACTGCTAAAAATACATATTCCTAGGCTCTACTCTGGAAATTATGATTCAGTAGGAATTATGAGACTCTGTAGAACCAATGAACCTGTGGTTCATGGTGCTTCTGATGGGCAGCCAGAGTTTTGCCTTAGTATAGCTTCCAGAGACACTCTCCAGTGGGCTGGCTCTGTCTCAAGGAGCATAGCACTGGGCAACGCTCCACTAGACACCTACTTTTCAATATTATGACATGAACTAAAGTGTACATATAAAACATCAACTGTGCTAACAATGACAGAAATAAGCACAAAGCCTCAATTTTAAAAAATAATAGTTAAAGCCATAATAGCATTAAAAATCAAGGAGGCTTTTATTTTATATCTTAAATCTGGAATTCAATTTGTGGAATTTTATATAATATATAAATATTTATATATTTTATAAATAAATATATAGTATTCAATATATTTCATATATTTCTATTTTTAATAAAAAATGGACAGCAAATCTACTAAAGAAACTTTTTTTTGAGTTGGAGTCTCACTCCATCGCCCAGACTGGAGTGCAGTGGCATGCTCACAAAGATTCCAGTGTTGACCTGCTGGGCTCAGGGGATCCCTCCACCTCAGCCTTCCAAGTAGCTGGAACTACAGGCACACGCTACCACACCCAGTTGATTTTTTTAATTTATTGTAGAGATGAGATCTTGCCAAGTTGCCCAGGTTGTTCTTGAACCCGTGGGCTCAGGCGATTCCCTCATCTTGGCCTCCCAAAGTGCTGGGATTACAGGCTTGAGCCACTGCACCCGGCCTAGAAACTTTATTTTTAACATTTAAGACCTAGAAAGCAGTTGTTTTTGTATTTAAAGTGGTTGTTCATTACCATAAGAGTTTTCTCATGTATTGAGTATCCTATAGAAAGTGCAAGAGGTCCATTGAAAGTTATATCCCCTTACCTCCAATGTTCTGCATTGTAATAGAAACAAAAGCTCCAATTTTTCCAGTCCATCCAAATGCTTTTTCCCCTAATTTTTCATAAATTAAAGACCCTGCAACCAAAAATCAAATAGTCATGTTAAAAAGATTGCTTTAATGACAAAAATTTTCTATAACATAATTCTACACTGGTATCTTAAACATGTAAATAAACATCATGTGGAAATTCTAAATCTAAAAGATACAACCACAAAAACCAGCAAGCAATATATTAAAACGTTCTCCAAACAAGAAGCAATAGCTTCATTTTAGCTTCATGTAGCAAGCCAAAACAGTTATTTCTATCATCCACCAAAAATTTCTTCTTTTCTATTTAGCTTAAACCTAAACACGTTGACTTTTACTGCTGCCTCTCACTTGCCCAAACACCTAAGAGCATGTCGTCACTGTCAGAAAAAAAAAAAATGAAATGTGAACTGGACTAAAATCATCCTAAGGTTATTAAGCTATAGACTGAAATACTTTTATGAGAATGAAAACAGAATGTCCTGGACATAAGGGGTAGCATACCTCCTTCCTTGGATGTCTTTAATAAGAGGTGAACTGAGTAGAGGGACAATATTGCCACAGCGAGCAGCATGATTCTGTAAAGAGAATAGAGAACAGATAACAAAGTTTCTATAATAAATAAGAAATAATAATGTTAGACGTTTCGATAACTGATCACATTGGTCTTTTCAGTCATCAACTTTCCAAAAAGTATACGAATTTTGGGGAAGCTGAAATTCTTTTTAGAATTACATACAAGATTGGGCTCAGTGGCTCATGCTTATAATCTCAACACTTGGGGAGGTCAAAGCAAGAGATTGCTTGAGCCCAAGAGTTTGAGACCAGCTTAGGAAACATGTGCGATCTCATCTCTACAAAAATAAAAAAATAAAAAAATTAGCTGGGTGTGCTGGTGCGTGCCTGTAGTCCCAGCTACCTGAGAGGCTGAGATGAGAGGTTTGCCTGAGCCCAGGAGGTCAAGGCTGCAGTGAGCCATGATCACACCACTGCACCACTGCACTCCAACATATGTGACAGAATAAGAACCTGATTCAGAAGAAAGAAAGGGAGAGAGAGAAAAAGAGAGAGAAAGAAAATTCTGTACCCTTTAGTGTCTGTCACAGAACTAGAATCTACTATATTTTACATGGCCAAACCTACTACTGAAGTTCCTAACATATTTTTTTAGTGTTACTCAGTTGCAGAATCTGGTTCATAACTTAGATGCAAAGTATACAGCAAATTTATCAAATGCCACATCTGCTTACTCAGCATATGAGTACATGTGCATCATATACACATAATATTCACACCAAAATTTGGAACGGAAGGGCTATTTAGTAGCCTAACTAAAGCTTAATTTAAAATCTAGGAATTCATAAGCCAAAGCATGCAGCCTCAGCTCCATGACTGATTAGATAGCAAGGTACCCTGTCAACCAGAAGGTCAGGCTGGTGCACATGCAATAGAGGAAGCAGAGAAAGGGAAGTATAGGAGCAGGAAAACTCCTTTTTGTGTGTTCAGAAGGAATAATTTCTGGTGTCAGGATTCTCTACATGTTCACATGCATGTGAGGTTTCTTTAGGTTTATGCTGATCGGTATTTCTCTGAAACCAAGAATTGATTGATAAGAGTGCCGATAGAAGTATCTACATAATAAATGAAGGACAATGTTAACTTTTACCTGAAGTTTAGAAAAAAATCTTTATCTTTGTTTATTTCATATTATAAGAACACACTAAACATATTCACCACAATTGATCTAATCACTTGGTAATTCCTAATGAAATCAATGCTACAAATGAACATCCGGATCATGAATTATAAATTTTATAACCACTCTAGTTATATTATACTCTTAGTTCAGTCAGAACTGCCTGATCAATAACTCACTTCTTTTTTTTTTTTTAGTTGGAGTCTCACTCTGTCACCTAGGCTGGACTGCAGTGGCATGCTCATGGCCACCCCAGTGTCGACCCACTGGGCTCAGGAGATCCTCCTGCCTCAGCCTTCCAAGTAGCTGGAACTACAGGCACACGCTATCATGCCCAGCCAATTTTTTGATTTATTGGAGAGATGAGTCTTACCAAGTTGCCCAGGCTGTTCTCGAACCCATGGCTCATGCAATCCCCTCACCTCAGCTTCCCACAGTACTGGGATTACAGACTTGAGCCACCGTGCCTGGCCTAGTAACTCACTTCTATATTTTTCTATATGCCTTATGAACATATCTGTTTTTAAAGAATACAACTCAGATTATACAATTTTGTTTCCTAAATAAAAAAAGAAGAAGAAGAAGAAAAGCATTTCCTGTATTCTAAACATGTACTTGTTTTGGCAGAAAATACTAAAAGTCAAACTAATGAACTACTAAGTCACTTGCTGGGAATTAAGAGAGAAAGCTGAATTCAGTCTATGCTACTTAGACACACAAAGCACACCCTATGACGTTTAGCAATTTAATTGTTCTGACCAAATTAATCTGCTCAATGTTTATTAGCCTGAAATGAAGCCCTTATTTTAAAAGTAGAATATTCTCCTCCTATGAAGATGATCTATGACTCTAGGATTGGGAGAAGTGTTTCCTATTTCTATTCATCAGTGATCCATGAAAATTTTTGAATTAATTTTAATGGTATATATAATTAATTAGGAGAAGGCAGTCTTTTTGTCTTAGAGGTAGTGCACATTACGAAAGCATACAGGTATATGAATGTATTTCTAGCCATTAAGACTCAGATAATCGTAAAAAAAACTAGTTTATTTCAAACATAGCTTATAGAAGTAAAACTGATATAAAAACCTATTCAACTAAGGAATATTACACATAACATGGTTTAATCAAAGCATTAACACAGTACAAATATTTATAGTCCTAATTCTCAGTCCTCTAATAGCTGTGTAATTATTTAATCATACATGATGTTCAGAACATAAATGGCATATATTTATAATATAAATGTTGCATTCTTAGACTGTTATTTAACTCTCTGGCATTGCATTTGGGATTAGGATCTCCATCCACATCAATGCCTAACATTAGATTTTATTATTGTGAAGAATTCCATTGGTGCCAGCTATGTCTTGAAAAATACCAAGCTGTCTGTGATGCACACACACGTCTGTGGTTGTCTGTCACAGACCATGTGGTATCCATCCTACAGGTCAGCCACGCTTAGGCAGCATTTGATCAAGTTTGGTGAAATAGCATAGGTTTAGGGATAAGCTTCAGTCACTCAACAAATATTTCCTGTGCCAGGCATTGTGGTAGGTCTTGTGGATTGAGACATATGTTGAGTAAAAAACAGACATAGGCTCAACTCTCTAGACATTAATAGTCCAGCAAGGGAGATAGACATTAGCTGAATGAATCTGAAAAATGCACTAAAGCATTAAACTGTGGTGAGTGTATAACGAGGTGATTTTCCCCAGCCGTGGAAGTCAGGAAGGCAGCACTAAGGTAAGACTGAGCTGAGATACGAGTTAACTAGATAAAGAAAAAAGATAAGAGGATTCCAAGATCATGTACAAAGGGCTGGTGGTGAGAGGAGATGTGACATCTTCATGGGATGGAGAGAAGACTACGGTGTCCAGTATATCTGTTGCACAGGAGCACAGGGCACGAGGCATGGGTAGGATTCTTCGGCCTGGTTTGAAATTTTTTCTTTGCTTTTTTTTTTCTCAAAGAATTAGATAAAATTAGATTTGCTTCTGAGAAACCTTTTTTTAACTGCTAGACACCAAATTATTTCAAGCATCTACTGAACAATGAAATACTTTGTAAAATGGTTCCTATGAACTGGCAAGGCTGCTCCAGCATTTTGGATGGCTGAGCACATAAACTTTCTGCTGTTTCGTTAGGGATGGTTGGGTGAGTGAGTACCATGGTTAGACTGCTCTCATTTTTCCTCAGGTCGCTACTTTATGTAAAAGCTAGAGGAATTCACTAACACCTCAGATTCGTCATGTTCATGGAGATCAAACTTCAGGTTGCTAATTGAAAGAGCTCCAGGGATGCATGGACATCACCAACAGTGCAAACATGTGCATTCACTTACATAAAAAGTATGATCCCTGTGTTGGCCATGGCATAGGACAAGCCCAAGATCCCACTGCCCATGATGGCGTTACTCAGGTTGAAAGAAGACATTCCAAAGGAGGTGGTTCCAGGATGCTTGAAGGAAAAGAAACACAATATAATCAAACATTTGCCAGAGGGCAACCCTTTTGGGGGGTTTATTCTTATTCTCACAACGTCTTTACTGAAGAAGATTATAGTCCAAAATTAAAGACTAAGATTATAAATCACAGTAAGTAAAAGCCATTACTCAACGTCAACAAAAGCATGTAATTTTCAATGGAATGTAGTGCTTGGTTTCAGCAGAAGTCTCAGTAAAAATAAAATGATACAAGTGAATTCACATAAAGAAGGGAAAACATGTATGACTGCAGATTACATTTGGGTTAGAATGATTTCCCCAAAAAACAAATAAATTTCATAAATGATTTATGCAGCCATATGGCGAACAGGAAAAACAAGTCCTTATTCCAGTAACAGCCTGAATAAACAGAGAATGTGCTGATCAAGGCCTGGAAAATTTCAGTCACATTGTTTTCCCACAGAGACCTAGGTAGACCAGACACCCTCAGTCCTGTTTACTGCCTAAAAGCATAGATTCACTCACATGTTCATCATCATAATCTGCCAGCTTCTTTTTCCCCAAAAATCCATTTGTCAGGAATTTCTGACTTTCAGCATCTTCATTTGCAAATTCACTAAACAAGCACACAGAAAAAATAAGAAAGTAAAAAAAAAAAACAGGTTGTAAGTAAATGCTCTGAATCATATTTGTGTTTCAGATGATTGAAGTAACTGAATTAGGGGAGGGAAAATAAAATGCCTAGAACTTTTTGTCTTCCTCCACACATTCCAGATCAACAACTTAACTCCATTTATGAATATACTTTGGGAGGGAAGAAAGACATTAAGTGGGAAGGAAATATTATTCTTAGTTAAAATTTTTTGCGCCATGTTACTTTTTCCCCACATTATCTATGCAAGGAAGAGACTAATTAGAACTAATGTTATTCCCATTTGAAGCCCTTCTGAAGAAAGGATACAGTCTTGAATCTGAGTTTTCTAAACTGCTATCATTCTATAATCAAATACATTTTAACTGAACAAATATTTATTAAATGCCTTAGGCATTGTTATTATTATCTAATTTGATGCTCAAAATAAAAAAATAAAGTTATATATGTGTATGTGTGCGTGTGTGTGTATTTCTTATTGAAAAGTAGTTCAATGATAGCTCTGTTGATTGAATGTGTGTGTGTGTGTTTCAATTACAAAATGTACCTGGGTTATTATTAGATAATGGACGAAACAAAGAAAATTATTAAAGTAACCTAATGAGATGGCAGGAGAGTTGGGAGGGAAAGAAGACTTTGAAATATCACTGTCCACGGAACACTGTGATTATGGTCTTCTTGGGCACAGGCTGTAAACGACACAACTTGGTCATAGTGCCACCTCCTTCCTGTGCTGATCAGCTCCTACAGTTACCAGCCAGGACTTGGGACTCTGGACCTAGGACCAGTCATATTGCCAAAATATGGAACAATAGGGTCTGCTGCTGTCACTGCATTTTTATACTGCAAAATATCACAGACTTTTTGTTGTCGTTATATAAAATGTTCAACTATGCATGTTTCTTAAAAGTGTTTTAAAATTAGATAGATTGCAATTTTTAGGACATTTCTTACATGAAAGAGTAAGATTTTAAAAATTGGAGAGTGTTTTATTAAAATAGCCCTAATGGCTGGGCAACAGAGGCGTACACCTGTAATCTTAGTACTTGGAAGGCCAAGGTGGGAGGATTGCTTGTGCCCAGGAGTTCAAGACCAGCCTAGGCAACAAAGTGAGACCTCATCTCTACAAAAAAAAAACTTTAAAAAATGTAACCAAGCATGGTGGCGCATGCCTGTAGGCCCAGCTACTCAGGAGTCTGAGGTAGAAGGATCAGGCGTTAAGGGTGCAGTGAACCATGATTGTGCTATTACACTCCAGCTTGGGAGACAGAGTGAGATCCCAACTCAAAAGTAAATTTTAAAAAAGTAATCCTTAGAAATAAAACAGAAAATAATTATTATAGGAGATCTATACAAGTTTTTTAAATAATAGGAGCTAATCCTGAAAATAATTTGGTGAAAAAGAGGGATAGCAGGATTACTTTTTGAGATTAGAAAACAGTATAAAGTGCAGATAAAAACAACAGGCAAAATCACAAAGTTTTATGTGTTTTTTCTAGAACTGGAGGAATAGATGACTCCGAGTACCCGTGGTAAGAACATCCTGGCCTTCTCCCTATATTTCTCATGAAACCATAAGGCCCTCAGCTGTGGCCTCCTTCCATCTCCACATATCCCTCAGCATGCTTTAGTGATGTACTTTAATGGCCTTTAGTTAACATATTTGCTATATAGAGACTGTACACAGTGTTCACAGTTGGAAACTGTGACGATAGGATGAAATGAAGCCAACAATGGGCCTCGGGACTGTAAGAACAAAAGCATCACCTGAAATTTAATCTCTGAAATGTCCTACATTCTATGTCTTACTTTAATCAGTACACTGGAACCTCTATTTCATGAGTAGTTTTTAAAATTTAGAATGTTAACGTAAACAGATTTCCTTTTCTTGAGGCATTTGCATGTTCTTATTTTGGCATGAGATGAGTTGTAGTCATAAAACATGCCAAGATTGTATAAAATACATGAGAAATGTCCCTAGTGTGTTAAATGCTTTGATACCAACCCAAGTATATATTGAAAACATGAATATAATGATCCCAAATAAATACCTTATGTTGAATTTCTCAAAAGTTAACATTTAAGGGTTCAACCCAAACCAAAATAGACAAAAATCCATCTTTTAAAAGTGATTGCTTGAGCCAGAAATTAAAAGGTAAATCACTGTGAGTTGTCTGGAACATATCTTACAAAGCTTAACAAAAGCATTGTTGCTCTTTCATTATGGCTTTTGAGTACCAAATGGAAGGACTCTACAACTGTTCTTGGAAGGAAATTCTCTTTAGCTCAAACAACCTCTGCAGAGCTCATCTAGGAAACAAAGGAATCCTCGGATTTGGATCAATTTACTAAGGGTAATGGAGGAAAGAAGAGAGAACAAAATGTATTGAATATCATCTATGTTCCAGTCACTCATTTAATTATTGGAAAAGTAGCTGTTGGTTTGCCATTCTACATTTTCCACTGAAGCTCAAAGAAAAAAAAATCTTCTCCAAAGTCAAGCAATGACTCTGCAGGCTCCAAAGTCCTGTGTTCTCCCACATTGTGTTTCCTCAAAAGTCTCCCAATTTAGAAAGTCATGATTTGCATAACCTGTCTGCTCCAGCACCCTTTGATTGATTGCACTGAGCTTCTTGGAGGAAGGACAGTGCTTGCTCCTAATGGCCGTTTCTGTGTGTTGTGAAGGAAATGAGAAGTCCTTGTTTGAGAATAATATTCTCTATTTCAGGCCTAGATTTGACCAAACATTCCCTTTTGATCATCTTAAATCCTGCACAATTTGTGTGCTATGATATTTTGTGGGAAATTAATTTACTTATTAAATAGTTATCATGCACATACTATGCACCAGGCAATGTGGTAGATGGTGGAACCACATACGTCATTAGCCTGCTATAGTGGTGTGATTAACATCTGAATAGGGAGGTGGTAAAAAAAGTAAAGATGGTCATTTCTACTTGGGGAGTGGAGGTGGAAAAGGCCTCATAGGAGACCTGATGGTGAGCTGATTCCTGAAGGATAAGAGGTGCCAACAGAGAGAAAGAGGAAATGGAGGAGTGATTCCACGCCACTGGAACAGAATAAATGAAGGCAAGAGGGTACAAAAAAAAGAGTAGGGCAGGAAGCAGGACAGAAGAGGTCGGTCAGGGACAGATCACGAACATCCTTACATGCCAAGCAACGTACAGTCTAATCTTTATCTTATAGTTAATGGAGAAGTAACGAAGGGCCTTATTCAAAGATGTAACTTGACTCAATTTGCAACTATGAAAGATTACTCTGACAAAAGTTTGAAGGACTAGAGGGAGGAGAGAAAAATGTTAGGGAATAAATCAGGGCTGTTCTAACAGACAGGTGAGTGAGGAGAGGGCCTAAGGTAAGACTGCAATATAATGGTATGAAGAAGAGAGTGAATTTGAAATACTAATGAAGTAAAACCAACTGGATATAGCTGACCATTGACTGTCTGGTTAAAGTTGACACCTAAGGGCTTTTGATTGAGTTACTGAATAAGAGTGGTGATTCTCAGGATGGGGATTACTAGAAGAAGAGCAAGTTTTAAAGGAAATAATAGGAGTTCACTATTAGATGTTATGAGCTCGACTTTATAAATTCAGACACAGTAGTCATGCAGTAGAGATGCGTAGTAGACAGTTGGATATAATGGTTTGAAATTCAATTGAGAAATTTAACAGGCTGAGGATATGACATATAGTCAGTAGGTGACACCATGATAGTTATGAATGAACTTGCTCAGAAGAGACTTTTAGAGAGAAAAGAATCCCTACAGAACCCTGAAGATGTAGTAACATTCAAAGGGCAGTCAAAGGAAGAGGAATCTGAGAAAAAATAGTTCAAAAGGTAAGAGGTGTGATTGGCTAATAAATTATTCTACATTATTAAGAGGGACAAGGACATTGTAACCTCAATTCTAAATTAGTCACACAAAGGATTGATATTGTTACTCTATTTCAGGATCAGAGGGTTGATGCACTGACATCAATGCCATTATTATTTCAAATTTATCTGTAATAAATCCAGTTCTTCCCAAAAGACCCTTCTTTTCTGTGTCCATAAACTTGTCTTATTTTTCCCACAGAACCTAGTAATTTTTAACCCCATACCTGCTCATTGCTGCCTTTTCTGAATTTCCCATTCCGGTGTAGCTATCTGGAACACTTTCTCCACTGCTGCTCTCATCATCTGGTTCGATGTTGACATTTCTCAGTTCCATGGGATCCATTTGAGCTGTCAGCGATTTTTTGTCGACACAGGAGCTCCTTCAGTGTAAATAATATACTGTACCTTCAGCTTAAGCTCTTCCACTTTGTGTTGATGTTCAGAACACTCTGTTCTGCAAACAGAACACAAAATAAATCATAATTTTCTTTAAATTAGATAAATGAATATGAATCACCCACTTTGTGTATGTGCTTTGTAAAACAGGGGAAGGAAGCAAACTCCTGAAAACATCACATAAGTATATCCCGAAAGGTTTCTTTACCCAATACAAAAAAAAAATTGGGTGATAAGAAGGAAAATTATGAATAATTGCTAAGTCAGTAGATATTCATAAAGTACCTATAAGTAATGAACATGGCAGGTGTTTTGCCAGTCACTATGGGAAGAAAAATAAATCAAGACATGTTAGAACTCATCAAGAAAATGTAGGTATTTGTGAGTGAAACTTATGTTTTAACAGAAAGGGAGACAAAAGTAAGTTATTGATAAAGATCTGCCAGGGGAGAATCTACCAGGGCCTCTACTAGCTAGAAAGAAAATTACTGTTTTAACTTAATTGAGTATGACAGAATTAATGCTACAAAAATGCTTGGTAATATGCAACACAGTGTAGGATCAAGCTTATGAAGTCACTTTCAAGGCACCTGGATCCTGAAGACACAGCTAAAAATAGTAACAAAAGAAAGTGCATGTTTACCTTTGAATCAACATCAGTTACCATCTATATCAAATTAAAATTTTAATAATAAAGAGATTTAGGATTTAAGACTCTGTTCTCCATTTAATTCATTGAATCTCAGCACAAAATTTAGTATTTTGGAATTTCATTTTCCTTCATTGTAAAGTGAAAAAGGATAAACTGAAATTGTGTTTTAAAAGAATGCCACGAATCCATTATAGTGTTGATGCAATTTCTTCTGAAATTTTTACTATTAGATTAATTCAATTATTACTGAAGGATTATATTGGGAGACACTATCACTCATGAAAGATGTGTTCTGAAATTTGCATTCCACATTTGATAAGAAAATCCTGAACAGAGAAACTAACATAAAAATTGTTCCAGAAGTCACAAAATCCATAAATCTTTTAACAAACAAAACTACCACATGGGAATGCCTCCACAATTTAGTGCCATGGACGCATACCTCTGGGAGGCAACTCACACTTGAGATAAGTTCACAATCCCAAATCTAAAAAAAATACAAAACAAAGCAATTTAAAACAGACTTTGAAAATTAATATAATAAAAAAAGCTACCAGAGGGAACAGAAGTAAGACATACATATGATTAATAAAAAATTTCAAAATATATCAACAGGGTGCCTGAATGAAACGTAATTGTACACCTAACCCTTAACTGTACCCCACAAAACCATAATAAAAAATATTGATTAATTAAAAAAAAATTTTCAAAATAAAAGAATAGCATCCATAGATTGAAAACATTGTAAAAGAAGACTAGTTTGGAAAAGTAAAAAAACTAAAACTGAAATCCAAAATCAATTGAAATTTAAAGAAAAAATCAGCTGAAGGAAGAGTTATAAAAAAGAAGATAATTCTGTGGAGATCACTCCATTTATGGCACAAAGAGAAAAAAGAAAATTATGAAGAAGAAGTTAAAAGACATGGGAGAAAAAGAAAAGTGAGAGGTTAAAACATAACTAGTAGTCTTTCTAATATGAGGAAATTGTGAGACTAGGGAGAAACAAAATAGAAAGAGTGGCAGAAAATTATCCAGAAATGAACAGAACAATAGTACTTCAAATTTTAAAAAGCACACAGTGTTTCAAGCAGAAAGAATAAAAATGTATCTATTCATTACTATAAGGCAATCTAAGTGCAAAACATAAAAGATAGAGAAAAATCTTAAATGCTACCAGAGGGAACAGAAGTAAGATATACATATGGTTAAAAGAAAAGATGGAAATTCATTAAGTGAGTTTTCCTCACCCATCATACATTACCAGTTTCACTTCCTAGCAGCAACTACTAATAAGAGCTTCTGTTTTTAGTTCTTTGCTTAAAGTTAGCCATTCTAAAATTAAATAATTCACTAAAACCTCTCTGACTTGATTTACCAACTTTAGACTGGTACCTGTGAAAGATAATAAAATTAGCATACTTTTTTCTACCCTTCCTTCAGTCAATACTCCTAATTATTTTAGTCAATGAAATACTCCTAAAATGTTGAGAATTATATGTTCATCCTGTTCTATCAAACTGTTGAATCTGTCATAATTTGCTTGTAGAAAACTAATACTTCAACGTTACAACATTATGATTGTATAAATACTATGCTCTGAAGGACAAAGTGGTGTATTTAATTGCATAATAAGTGAAATAAAATCTTATATTATCAAAGATTTGAGAGCAAATTTTCCATGATCGGTGGCATTCTGAACGGCTTCCTCCTCTGACCTCTGAATCTTACCCAGCTACTGTTTCTTGAATGACATCCTATCTTCTTTCTTCAATTCATTTTGCATTATGCTGAAAGGCTGCCTTAAATAAATTTCTTTTCACACAATGAGCAAATGTTTGTAGACAGGATTTCTTACTTGTTTCATGTTGGAAAATATTTTTGTTTTGCCTTCAAATGTTGATTGTTTGAATTCTAGATCCAGTCATTTCCCCTTAGAATGTTAAAGATATTTTTCTTTTGACTACTGGCTTCCATTGAAGAGTCTGACTCTCATTTCTTTGTAGGTACTTATTCTATTTTTTTCTGAAGAATTTTATAATTGTTCTCTTTATTCTTACCTGAAATTTCACCAGGATGCCACTACATGTATGTAGCTTTAAAATCGATCTTAGCATGGAAGGACTTATTCAATCAAAAGCTTTGTCTTTCTTCTATTCAGAAAATGTTCTATTATTTTAAAACAACAACAACAACAACAACTATTTCTTCTCCTTTATTTACTCCTTCTAAAGCTTTTTAAAGTCAGGTATTAGACCCCTTGATCCATATTGCTAAGCTTTTACCTTTATTTTCTCCCTTTATCTCATTGCTCAATGTTCAGGAATATTACCTCAATGTCACATCCAAAATAACAGAGTTAATCTTCAGCTATATCCATTTAATTTTTTCAACCTATTCATCTCAATCATGTTTTTAATCTCTAATAATTCTTTCTTATCCTCTTTCTCTTTTCTGATATCATCTTTTTGTTTGTTTTATGGATGCAATATTTACTCAAATCTTTCTAAGGATATTGATTGAAAGTTTTCAGAAGTTTTTGGTTTCTTAAACTATGTGTCTCTTCCAGAGTTAGTTATTCTATTTGTTCATTTTGGTCCTTCTCTTTGACACTGCTTGTTTTCTTTAAATTCTTAGTGACCACAGGTTGTCAGCCCATATTTCTGAAGGAGGACTATATTGTTAGCTTAGACAGCTAGTCAGGGCTTCTCTGAAATTGTGTAGGCCCATTTCACCCATGGTCTGCTCCCTTGCAAGTTCTGTGTTAAGTGGCCCTTCTACAGCTTGTCTGTGGGAGGAGCATCCTGGGGGACCCTACTCCCAGACCAGTGGCCAATCTAGGAGAGGTTGTTCTAGAGATGAAGTATTTTAATGTATTTTCCCCTTGGTGGAGCTTCCATTCCTGCTTGTTATACCTCTTTGTCTGCTGTGGAGATCCTGATACTTATCTTAGCATTCTTCCTTGGGCTTTCTTTATAGACTGGATCACAGCTTTATTCTATGGGCAACAAAGGCAGCCCGAACAGACCGTCATGTCTAAACTAAGGTTCCTTGGTGAATATCTGATTACTGGTTGCCTCCTTGTGATCCATGCCTCCACTTTGTTTATGTTGACCTAACTTGGAACTACTGCAGAGCCTCCTCTGGAAAAAGAACATTAACCTTGGGTTCTTTTCTCTTTCTCAGATTGTCCAACTATATCTGCTTTCTGACTTCTAGGAATTCTCAAAAATTTCTGTTTATTGATGACACTGCTATTGTTTTTCACAGTTTTTGTAGTTTTGTCCTTTTAAAAGCTATCATCTTGTGTTAAGTCTTATTGCTTGACTTTTAAGGCTAGATCCAAAGCTCCTCCTTCTTCCAATCCACTCCTAAGACCTCGTATAATGTGATGGTTAATTTTATGTATCAACTTGACTGGGTTAAGGAATGGCATGAGACGTGGTAAAACATTATTTCTGGGTGTCCTAAGGATGTTTTCTGGAAGAGATTAGCATTTGAATCAGCAGACAGATAGAGAATGAATTCCCTTCACCATTGTGTGTGAGCATCATCTGATCCCTGAGGGCCTGGATAGAACAACAAGGAAGAGAAAGGGCAAATTTATTCTCTCTCCTTGAGCTGGGACATCATCTTCTCCTGTCCTTGAACATTGGACCTCCTGGTTCTCAGGTCTTGTGATCCTGGGACTTATACCAGCAGCATCTTGATTCGCAGATCTTTGGTCTCAGATTAAATTATACCATCAAATTTCCTAGTTTATCAGTTTGTAGATGGCATATTGTGGGATTTCTTGACCTCCGCAATCACTAGAGCAATTCCTATAATAAATCTCATCTCTCTCTCTCTCTCTTTTCTCTCTATCAATATCTCTATCTCTATCTCTATCACTATCTCTATCTCCTATTGGTTGTATTTCTCCGGAAAACTCTTACTAAAAATACACCAAAGACTCAAGTTACATCTTTGGCCCAGGCTTCTCTGAGCTTCAGTTCCATGTGTCCAGTGGCCTAAGTGACACTTGCATATCTCAAGGCAGTTTAAATTCAAAGTGTCCAAAATCTGACTTATGATAGTCCCCTCTTTTTCCAATGTTTCCTATCCAAAAACTGTTATCACTATTTGTCCAGTTATTCAAGCCAAAAGCACAAGAGCCTTCTATTACAAATTTTTCTTTCTTATCTCTTACATCCAGTTCTTTGCAAAATCTGCTTGATTTTGCAAACGATGTACCAATGTTATAACTCAAATTAGTCTACTCCATTTTATTACCTCCACTATCATCTTGCCCACACCACCATCATTTCTTACATTGTCTACGGTAACAATCTCCTAATTGATCTCCTTGAATTCTCTCTTACCTTTCCCAACCATCCCCCCATTCATTCTCCGCATAATAGAGTGATCTT